TCTCATGCTAAATCCAAAACACAGCACTATGTCATCTACTAGGAAGAAAATTAACTCTATCCCAGCCAAAACCAGGACAACGCTGAAAATATATGTAACAAAATAAATTGAATGGGACTCTGATTTACTTTTTTATAAAGCTACTGTGACTATCAGAATGAGATTTTTATCTTATTTTACTATCTATTGGTAGATCAGTTTGTGGCAATGATAATAATAACCCTGTTTAAACTTTGCATTGACATATGTTGTTTTAGCAACTGAATTTTTTATCTCAGTTCTTGTGGTCATAATGGACTTTAAAACTTCTGAATATGCTATGTTCTAAGATTATTTGAGTGAGCTAGCCTTCCCAGATGCTAAAACACTTTTTGTAGTTCTGTATAAGATTGTTAAAACTGTTAGTTACAGTTGTCTTTTTTGCTTCTAGATTCAAGCACTTCAGAAAGCATATGATGAACTTTGCCAGAAAGAGGGGGTTACAGCCTTGCCTTATTTTTTAATCAAGTATCATGACAACTCTGTTGTGATATCTCTACTGAAAAAGTGGGATGGTTTCTTCCAAGACCAAGGGGGAAAGGTAATGAGAATTTCATGTCTTTTTATAAACTACAAATGTTTAATTTACAAATGGTTTGAAAAGTGTCTGTAATACTGAGCTGAGCACAATGGTCGGCCAACGAATAGCCTGGGTAAATAGCTGAAGACCAGCAGCTTGGATTGATTTTTGTGTTGTGTGTCTAGTTCTTACGCAAAAGCCCAGTTACATCAGATTAACCATCAGCTTGAAAACAAAGTTCTTCATGCTCTGTCTCCGTTGTTATTAAAACAGTAACAAGGTAAGTTTGTGACAGAGTCAGTGTAACAATTAAAGTTTTCCAACCACTTTACCTACAGTACTATAATAATGCAAAACACTTCTTTTGTGTACTAAAAATCGGTACTCATATGCTTTATATATTTGTTGGTTATGGTAACAGTAATTGGGAGTTATGGGAGTTTTCAACTTCAAGTTTTCAAATTTCAGTGTGTGTTTTGCCACATGTCCACGTTATAACGTGAGAGCTTTGGATAAAAATTGCTGGGAATCCGTATCTGAAGAATGTTCAAGGTAAATGCTTTGCAATTTTGGAAGATAGATCGGTTGTGCACCAGGAGAGGCTGGGATATTTCTTCTTGTTAAATGCAGACATCATGCATGTCCTTTGAGTGTAAAGTGAGTACTACCCATTGCTTTCAATTAGGGAAGAATTATAATGATACATGAAGCAGATGTAATCACAGCAAGAGTTGTCTGGCTTAGTTGGCTTGTGTTTATGTACACTGAATTCTGTTTTGGATCGTGTTGCTCAGGTGCTGAACTTTGCTAGGCCTTTCTGAATGCTTTACTGTCTTTATTTTTCGTGAACTTCAAACTTTTTTTTTTTAATCTTGCATGTCACTTAAGTGTTATGAAAGAAAACTCTGAGTTATGGTGAAGAGCTAGTAAATGCAAAAAAGAAATTCTTTTTTGTGATGGAGGTCTTGTCACACCTTATAAAAGTAATTGTAGTTCTATTTTATAATACTTGATCTTCAATTTTTTTTTTTTGCTTTTCCAAATTTGTTTTTCTGAAATTAAAACCTAGGTCTGTGTTTCTTCTTTGTAAAATAAGAAATTGAAGGTTGCAATTTTAAATGGTAGTATAACTACAATAATGGGTCATAGATAAAAGCATACTTAATTAGATAGGGACATTCTCAATATGAGAGAAATCTGTAATAATCTGGAATATACTTCTTCATTAACATTCACTTTGGAGGGGAGTGCCAAAATTTTTAGACCTGTCGGATGAGATCTATTGCATCAATACTGCCTCTAGAGTTTGTTTGTACTTCAGTGAGCCAAATGAACTTGCTCCTCTGGAAGAAAAATATGTTTTTGCTGTAATGTTCTGCTAGTTTGTGCAATTGAATCAGCTAACTAATGGGTCTTATGCCTGCTTGAATCAGCAGTTGCAAAGCAGCAGCAGTGTATGGCTGGGAAGAGGGATGGAGAGTGGGCCCCTGTTTCTCCTATCTGCATCCATTAGATTGGCTCATCTGCATTTCAGACTGTTTTAGGGACACCTTACTGATGTGGTAGAGATGTGGTTGAGACCAGTCACTCTAAATCCATCTGTAGGCAAAGAAGAAGGAGGGGAGAACTCTGTAGATGTAGTAGACACAGGTACCCGTAGTGATGGCCGAGTTCAGATTCTCAGCATATCTAAAGGTAGGCAGTGGTATCTTTCTAATCTCTAGATGTGTTTTGGTTCTGCATTGACTGTGAAGTAAGCTCCTAGTTTAGATGTCTCAATTACGAGCATGGTATGACATTGGTTGAACATGAGACAGAATATCCAGTTCCTTTATTTGATCTCATCTTGAAGGCTGGCTTTACAAGTGATTTTTATGCTGTTTTACCTTTGACTTGACATCTTGCTGTCCTGTCCCCTTTCACTTTTTGATCATCCCAAAATCAATACAGAATTTTGTTTCAAGAGCAAGCCTTCAGTTACTGGGCTTCTCCAATAACAGTGTGTTTAAGGAAGGTAATAAAGGTACACATACTGTAGTGAAAAGTGGATGTCCATAAAGAGGCTAAACTAAACAAATCTCAAAGCTGTGGCAAATGCTTGACTGAAATCTAGTGTGACCATTCTAAATACTTAAAATGTGTGTGTAGGCATTCTCTGTCCAGAAGTTTTACCTTAAAAATGCCAGATAACCTTTACTGTGAACTTAATATCAGTATGGATAGATGACTTCTCATTTAGAGCAATTTTATTTGCAGGTGACGGTTGGAGTTTATGATCCATGTAATTTATCCCACTATCCAGGATGGCCACTCAGAAATTTCCTGATCCTGGCAGCCCACAAATGGTATCTGTTTTATTCTTTCCCACAAACATTATTTATTGGTTGATAGCAAATTAGGGATTTTTTTCCCCCATGGCACTTTACTCGTATCACCCACCTGAGTTTTAACTTTTAACCTTGACATGACTCACCTTCAATGATTCTGATTTCGCATATATTCTGTTTTTTACTTTTGTCAGTCACAAGTTCCTGTTACTCTTACTCCTCACATGCATGCATGTACCTGGAAATAGAGGCTTCAGACCCTGTCAATACCCTGTAGCTGTTTTAAATCTTGTTTAAAGTGTTTTATGATTTTCTATAATTAATTAGTGCCAAGTAATAGTAGACCTAAATTTTGAAAATCAGGTACTCCTAGGTTTTCTTGTAGTGTACCTTCTTGAATTTTTTGTTGGGCAGAAGCTGGGAAGACAGAACATAGTTTTACACTCTTGTATTTGGGGGAAAAAAAAAAAATCATTTGAAGTGTCATATAAAATTGGATTGCTGTAACAAAAATATAATTAAGTTGCATTTTCATAGTTTTGAATTTTACATTTTATTACAAGGCTCACAGCAGGGAGAAGAAATGCTCAGTTAGGTATGGCATTTTCTGGGCTGCTATCTGAACTGTAGCGTAGAAGGATGTGTAAGTGCCCAGAAGGCTTTACACATTCTGAGATTCAGAGTTTTTTAGGCACTAAAGTTCTAATTGTTTGATCTGAGGATTTGAATCATAAGGAGCAAAAATGATACTATATCAAGAACTAAGAGGATCTTGCTTGTGCCATGGCAAAGTACATCATGTCACGTGATGTGTGCTCTGTTGCTTCCTTGCTTTTTATTCCTCTAAATATGCAGTTTGTCCAGCAGTGTTGTATAAATGACAGAGGACAGGCTGACAGTGTCATTTCTTTAGAGCTGTTTCACGACAAACTAGTCATTTTCACATACTAAGCAACTATTTTTATTTATACCTGATAAGAACAAGTGTTCCACTACTAACAGAAAAGCCTTATTCAGAATCTGCAAGAGACTAAACCTGTGTGAAATAGTGTTTGAAAGAAGTCCCTTTCCTATTAAAGAAGTTGCATGTGTGTCTTTATTTATCTTTTTTTAAATGGCAGGGGCAGCATTCTCCAGTCAGTTGAAGTGATCTGCTTCAGAGATAGGACCATGCAAGGAGTGAGAGACATAACACACAGCATTATCTTTGAAATAAAACTTCCAGAGAGAGTCCTTGGCCCAGGTAATCCATTTAGAAAAAAAATTTCTTTCCCATTTTTTTCTCCCTCCTCAATCACCGTGAAGATGGAAAAAATAAATTAATACTACTAAATCATTGCTTACGCTAAGTTATTTCAAATGGGTTTTAAATTGTGTGAATTTCTGTTTAAATGTCTCTAAAGGAAATGGTTCCTTCTTCAAAAAAGAAAGAAGAGAGCGTATTCTCTTTTAATTTTTTCCTCCTTAAATTGTGTTTGTAATTTAAAAAAAAAAAAAAGTCCGCCTGGTGTCATACGAAATACAAACCCAAGGCAATTAGCAGATAGTCTCTTTTTGCCTTGTTAAATTTGTACACAGTCCATCAGCTAGGAAAAAAGCGTATGATTGTGAATTCATGCGATGCAAACTTTCTATTTCTAAAACGGTAGAAGCCTGCTACAGAGTGGAACTGTTTCTTCAATACTATAGTGAGGTAGGCAGATGTATTTTAAAGCAATAAACTTGTAATGCTAGAACATGAACTCAGACTTATTTTCTGTGTACAGGACAGTATAATAAAATTTCTCTACTTCATCAAAAAAGTTCTGAATGCTTTACCTATTGTTGTGAATTGTTTAATTATTATGTGATTAGGATATATAATTCTCTACTGAATTTACAGATAGAGTGTAGGGAACATGAAGAGATGATTGAACTTGGCAAAATTTACTGAGTTCTGAATTGTGAATTTACTGAGTTCTGAACATAGCACTCTGTTTGACATTAAAGATCCAGAGGCTTGATGAGGAATGATGCCATCTCTGTCCCAGGTTTGAAGCAAGCGGAACAGGCAAAAGCAGCACATCAGACACCTGAGAGTAAAGCACTTCTCAAGAAGCAGTGCTTTCAGTTGATGTAGAACACCAAAATTTGTATAGCAATGTATACTAGGTTGTTAAGAGAGAGATTATTTACTTACAGGTTTAGAATTTTTTGGGTTTTTTTCCAACAAGGTTAAATCCAACAAAATTTCTTTTTTCCATCTTGTGATGGTAAGGCTTCCTTTTTTTTTAACATGTCAAACAGGTTGTCCAAAAGCTGTTGGATGGGAGAAAAATCCAAAGGGAGGCATGGGTCCAAGAATGGTGAATCTCAGTGAATGCATGGATCCAAAAAGGTTTGTTTATTATCATTTAAATTTCTATAGTTTTCTTTACTTGGGGTTAAGCCTTGACAAGTAGAAATGCGAAATGTAAGGATTGTCTGTCTCTGTTAGATAAGAATATACAGTAACACATATACTGTGTGTTGTTTGGACAGTCCTATTGGAGGTAAGGACCTTAACAGAGCAGAGTGCACTGCATGCAGCAGAAATATTTTTGACGCTAGCTTAAAATTTCAAATGCATTATATTTAAAACTGAGTGGAATGTAGGTCATAGTGTTACAGACCTGTGGTTTTCATTGAATTCTATAACCTGCAGGTTGTTAAATATAATGAAAATAAGCATGGAGAAAAGTTCATCCTTTTGGAATTGTTAGAGTGTGACAGGAAAGAGCTCAGGAAACATGACCTTAATAATTTTTACCATTCTGCTCATAATGTATGGGCAATGGATTGAAAACAGTCTGTTGGCTCATCTGCTTTCACTGACTATATGTGTGTTCTTGACTTTGAAACACTGTAGGAGTGTGTTGATCTAATGATTTAGGTTAACATATTTTATCTAACAAGCTAAGCTGTTTTTGTCTTGCAATTGTGGCAATTCAGAGTATGTTCATAGACATTAGAGAATGTTCATCTGAGGGCTCTTAATTCTTTAAATAAATGTAACTTCACCTTCTTTACTTGTATGCGTGCTCATTTCTGTTAATTCCCACAGAGACTGTTGGTAATATGCCAACCTTGGCAATTGTGATCTTGAATCCTTGTTGAACAAATAATTTACTGGAGACTGCAAAAGTTACGTTTATGATGTATAAGGGAATGAAACTGTCTGGAATCTTAGAACTGTGATGGCCTGACTTGATGAGAGTTTTAACACCCTGTGTTCTGATGAATAGAAAAATCTGACACTAGATTGAGCATGGATTTCCTACCTCATTTTCCTTCTAAAACTTCCACAAAGAACTGACTGCACTCTTTAGCAGGCAAGCGTAATACTTCATGTTAAGGACAGATGTAACTGGCTGCAGGAAACCAGTTAATTCAAAAAAGAAACAAAACTATGGACAAACAGTCCGTGTCTTATCACGCAGCTTAACAGGAATCTTGGCTAAGACACTGTTTTTATTTTCACACTTGCATCGATTTTGTTACTAAAATTTTAATTTTGGATTGTTACCTTTTTCAGAAGCCCTTAGAGACTTGTTCCAATTCCTAAGGAAGTATGTGGCTTTAGTAGATTTTTACAGCAAGTCCAGAGTGGCTAGCTGACACCTTTTCTGTATATTCTAGCTTTCTAAGAGAACACTTTCCTAGCAAAATCTTATGGTTAAACCCATCTTGTCAAATGTCTACAAACTGTTTCTTTTAAACTTCCACTTTACTAGCTATCTTTCTACTCTTGTTTCAGTAGTGATTTATTCTTCTATTTTTAAGTAGTGCTGTTGCGACTTCTATAAAGATGTTGCTTAGTGGTGTTCGGCCAACTCATTGGTTATAAGAAGAGGTTCCAAAGAAACTGAATATTGGGAATTGTGCATATATTCATATAGAATGACTTTTGACATCTGTTGCGTGTTTTTCCTGTGTGTCTGATTGCCAGAATGGTTAAAAATTTATGATTAGGACCCTTAAGAACATACTGCATGTGTCACCTCACAAGCGAACAAACAGCATAAAAAAAGGTTTTTTCTGATCGAAGTGTTGAACTTCTTCAGTTGAAATAAAAGTAATTGCTTCAGAGAAACACAAGAACATTCAGAAGTGTGTTTCTATTTATTTCATGGTACAGGTTAGCAGAATCATCAGTGGATCTTAATTTGAAATTGATGTGCTGGCGGTTGGTACCTACTCTTGATTTGGAAAAGATTGTGTCTGCCAAGTGTCTGCTGCTAGGAGCTGGTACACTGGGTTGTAGTGTTGCAAGGACCTTGATGGTAAGTCCTGAGTTAATCTTAAAAATAATCTGCTTTTTCTCATAAATTCTGTATGATTTTTTTTTTTTTTTTGAGCAGCTGCCATGGCACGTAAGAGAAAAGTTGTATTCCTCTGTATTGAAGTACACATAAGTTGATACTATAAATTGCAGGAAGACGTAAGATCTATAGTCAAAGGAAGTAACTCCTGCTAATAGTAGAATAGCAGGTAGTAAGAGAACTTAGTAATTTTTTTTTTTAAGAGAATAGTAATTTTTTTTTAAATTGACATAAAAAAAGAGTGAACAAGAAATTCTGGAACAAATTACCAAGCTACTATGATCAAATTCACAGTGAAGCACTTGAAGTAAGTAACTGTGCTGATACTTACTTTCAGGGATGTTTACCACATTCCACTGAATTCAGTATGGTTTTGAGGGATTACTGCTAAATGATATATTTGGACAGATCAAATTTTCTGTCCTCTTAATTAAGTGCAAGTACAAGGTTGTTGCTTCAAAGTGAATAGCTTCAAAAGCTTTTGAAGCTTGATCTTTCTAGAAAAATTGGACAACATTCCTCTTGAGTTTCTGGCATTACTCAAAAATATATGGCTAAGCCCATTGTACTTATTATTTAAATTACTTTCTTGTTTAGGGTTGGGGAGTCAGGAAGATTACATTTGTGGACAATGCAAAGATCTCCTACTCCAACCCAGTACGACAGCCACTGTATGAGTTTGAAGACTGCCTTAGTGGTGGGAAGCCTAAGGCACTTGCAGCGGCAGACAGGCTGCAGAAGATCTTCCCAGGAGTGGTAAGATCAGTATTTAAAATGTGTTAATATGTTAGTTGGAAGAGAATCATAGAATGCTTTGGGTTGGAAGGGACCTTTAGAAGTCATCTAGCCCAAACCCCCCTGCAGTGAGCAGGGACAGCTTTAACTACATCAGGTTGCTCAGAGCCCCGTCCAACCTGACCTTGAATGTTGCCAGGGATGGGGCCTCCACTACCTCTCTGGGCAAACTGTTCCAGTGCTTCACCACCCTCACTGTAAAAAATTTCTTCCTTATATCCAGTCTAAATCTATTCTTCTTTACTTTAAAACCATTATTCCTTGTCCTGTCACAACAGGCCTTGCTAAAAATATTCTCCCCATCCTTCCTGTAGGCCCCCTTTAAGTACTGAAAGGCTGCAATAAGGTCTCCTCGCAGCCTTCTCTTCTCCAGGCTGAACAACCCCAACTCTCTCAGCCTGGCCTCATAGGAGAGGTGTTCCAGCCCTCTGATCATTTTGGTGGCCCTCTTCTGGACCCGCTCCATGAGGTCCATGTCCTTCTTGTGCTGAGGGCCCCAGAGCTGGATGCAGTACTCCAGGTGAGGTCTTACCAGAGCAGAATGGCAGAATCACCTCCCTCCACCTGCAAGAGAACCAGTGACTTTAAATAACTATTCCAAGTTCTAGTAATTATGCATTATGAGTGGGAAAAATAGTACACAGGTGTTACACTGGTTACTGACAAACCAACAAGCATTTTACTTCAGGTACTCCATACCTGTTAAACTTTATTGAGACAGTAAACATTTGTAATAATGAAATATATTTAAAGATCATCTGAATCATCTTGTAGCTCATGGATGGTGAAGTAAAATTTTTTCCTGTCTCGTATGTCCTAAGGAACTTGCAGTAGTGGCTGCTTTTAATACTGTGTTTTCCCACCCTGCTCTTAAATGTGAATTTAGATACATTGGTCATCTATTATGGGGGCAGAAGGTCTTGAAGGCAGTAATAATAGAAAGTCTCAACAATACATTTATGTTTTATACCCAAAATTTGCAATATTACTTAAGCTGATTTTCTACATAAGAGGCTAATACTTAAACTGGTTACACTGCTGTTGAAATGAAATGACCTCATGTTCTCAGGATTGCTGTAGATGGACATTTTGCCCTATGAATGATCAGTAACGTAGTACAAGTAAAAGAAACATTTTTACCTGTAAAACTGAAAGTTGGTTTTTCTGTTGGTTTTGCCCAGAATAACTTAATAGTAGCAAGTATTGATTAGAAATTTGCTTTGCACAGAAGTGTAATACAGAGTATTAAGATGATGTAAGAGGACTTACTTTCTTGTATGCTTTTGTTTTCTTCAAGAACTAAGCAAACTGAATTGGATCCAGAAAAGCTATCAAAATGAAGTAGTTGAAAGGGAACAAAAGACAAGAATGAATTTTTATGTTGTTTTAGAAGCTTTATGATGAAAGGCCCACCAATGGCAGCCTGTATCCTCTTTGACTCCAGGGATGTGCATCATATGAACGTTATTCAGTGCACATGTTCAAACACACCTAACTTTCAATGCTGGAAAAAAGTAGATTTAAAAAAAAAAAAACCAACTTACGAATCTTTGCAGTTGTCTTAGTTTCATCCTTCATTTTGGGGAAGAATTGATATGGCCTATAATTGCAGAATGGACACACTCTCAGCTTGCTCTATCCTGAACAAAATTTTTTTTTATACTCATTTGGCATGTGATAGAAGTCACTCAGCTGTTTATAGTTTTTTGCTTTGGAATTGAGACTGGTTTAGAATTGGTGGCTATAGTTGAGAGGTCAGCTGGCAAACAGTATCTTAACCACTTAGTGTAATGAGTTATGTATACTTACTATTCAATTCTATATTTAAAATGCCACTGATTATATTACTAATCATAATATTAAGTTATGAACAGTGAAATATAGATTTGTTGTGGTGTTGATGATCAGTGTTGTGAACAAGCTTTACAGAAGATCATTTCCAAAAATTTTTAGGGTCATTTAGTTTGACCCAAGATTTGCTCTGTGTTTCTGTTCTGTTTTTATCTGTGTTGATCCTATTATTGTCATTATTTATGAAATCAGTATTGGTACTTAGTAGTAATTCAATGAATATTTGGATATCAAACAATGATCCCCAGTGTGAAAAAATGCTAAGTATTTCACTTTCAGAACTTTTGATAAGTAAATTAGAAAAGACTTTCTGAAAGTTCCTAGAATTTTATTTAACCTTGCTGTGCTGTAGTGTTATTGTTACTTGGTGGTATTAATTTAGTAACAGAAATACTAATTAGTAGAACAAGTACAGAAAAGAAAGCATCTGTGTCGTGTCACACAGAGCACCAACATGATGCTAACTAGGATTTGTGTCACATGATTTCTCACTTTTTAAACTTGAGAAAATGAAAACAGGAATATTAAGAAAGAATAGTTTAATTAGAAGAAATAAAAGCTGTTTGTGGAATCCTGAATGATAACAGTTTTGCATGTAGAGATAAAGACCAAAAGTTAGTGTTACGAGTTTTCTTGTTAGAAATAACCAAGAAAGCAAAAGACTAGGCTGTACTATGGAATCTTGAGATTGTGATGAGGCTTAAAAAGCCAAAAAAGTTAACTATAACCTGGCGAGGAACTTCCAGTAATAAGAGCAAACCAATAACAATGCTTTAGTGAGCCTGTATCAATAAATGTTAGGACATTTGGTACATACAGGAAAAAAACAATTTTCCTGTTCAGTAATAGCATATACAATGTGCAAGCTGTACTGTATGTAAGGAATTTTTCCTCTACCATATTCCTCAAACATTCTGCATCTGCGACTGTTTTCTTAGCACGTTATCCCCATCAGTGTTATGCGTTCTCTATTGTTTCCTCGTGCCGTGGGTGGGTCACATCTGATCAGCCTTCAGTGGGACTCAAACCCAGTTTCATAGCTTTGTGGCACAAATGAGGAGAAAGCCGTTGCACAGATCCTGTGTACCCTTATGATAGAATGTTTCTAATATATTTTTTGGTCAAACTCATTTCTGCAGTAGGATTTGTGGAGAAGAGATATTATGTTTGACCATATACAGAGGAACAACATGCTAGCATTAACAAGAATTAACGGGGCTTAACAGTAAAAACTCTGGTTCAGTTAATATCATGCTGTCAGTATGTGAGAGTGGGGAGGTTTAAACAGCAGCCCAAGCATATGGACTAACAGTAAGTCTTTAATTAGCCTGGGTGAAGTCTTGGTGCTTTGGGATGGTTTGGACAGTGAAACTGCTGTAGCTGGAGATTCTTATAACCCAGCTGATTTTGCTACACTTCTCAAAATAGAGCTGCATCTGTTACTGCAGATTGCACTGTTGCTTGTTACCAAACCCCATATTTATCAGTATAAATGTCTTTGAATAGAAGGATTAGTTGTCCTGGATTTTGAGCCTACTTTTTTCTCTCATACTGAAGGAGCAGCCAAAGCTGTCTCTTGCTGTTTGGAAACCCACACAGTCCTTTCAAGCCCATGGGAATCCAAGCAGTAATGCTGGTTCTGAAGGCATTACTGAAAATTTGGTTTTACATTTCTGTGCAATTCACTTGCAGTCTAATTTACTTTCTTTGATTTCAATGTGAGTAATATTTTGGACACAAAATGCAGTTTCTCCCGGTTGACTTTGAAATGCTTGTCTGCTCTATGTGAATTATTTTTTATTTTTTTAATTTTACATCCTTTCTAGTTGAAGAGTAACCACCTCATCATTGCAAATGAAACAGGAAGGAATGCTTTGGCAAGGAGCTTTGATTTGTTCATTCCACTTCTAAGATTATCATTAACTGTAGCTTAGAGTTTTAAAATAAAAAAGAAGGGAGGACTCGGAAATAGCAGAATTTACGGATTCACAGCCTTTCTTTACAAGTAGGTAATGCACAGAGTCATTCATATAGCTGCTGTGGAATTTAACTTTGACTCTTATACAGTCGTTTCCTGAAGTATTCAGGCATGGAACTCCAGTGTATTCAGTATTCTATCATCCTTTGTACTATACTGCATGGGGGGGCCACTTAATGTAGGTATTTCCAATAGAACAATTTAATGATGGCAGCATCACACTTCTTAATTTTCTGTGTACCTACCCATGGCACACTTCTGTTCAGGTTTAATGTATTGAGCACAGATATCTTCTAAGTGATCTGAGCTATGGTTTAACAAAAAATGCAGAAAGTTAATAGAAATGTGAATAAAAATGAGAGATAAGGTTATGGTAGCACCACAAATGCAGTATTTTTATGTCTGTTTGCTTTAAAAGAAACAAAACAAAAGCACTGGAGCCTCAGGCACAGCTTTGCTCAGCTATCAGTGAAAGTATTGGAGAGTGCATTGTCTTTTATGATTTTTCACATGTCAGCATACGGTCCCTTTTTTAATAAGTTTGTGATTCTAATACTTTATGGGATGGTAACCAAATAGTATTTTATTTTGGATAATTTGGAGGCATTTTAAATCTTTTGTTAGTATGAAGGTTGTGGTCTTAAAATCTAAGCCTTTTTGTGAGCAGTCAAGCAAATTTCTTTTTGTCATGTAGAGACTCACTGAGATTTTGGAATTCTGTGGAATGAATGAGATCTGTCTTTAGGGATATATGCACATTTAGTCCTCCTTCAAATAATATGCATGTGCCATCACAAGGTACCCTTTTAGCTGTTTTTGCCAGTGTTTCGCTGCAAAAGTGTACCTCAGCCAATTTTGCTAGTGACTGGGGTGTTTTTTTCAAGGGACAATTATTCAAATAAAATTGAAGCTATTGAAGCTGCTAGACTTGTATGTATTTCTACAGCTACAGTCACTGGATTTTAGTATTTTGCAAACCTTGTTACCATATTTCCATGCAGCTACTGTTCAAGTTACTTGTTTACTTGTTCATTTTATTTTTTTGAGCAAAAATCAACCTCCTAAGTCACCGACAGTGTCATTTATACTTACCTGATAAATCAGCACTTGTATGCACTACAGGGGCTTGACAAGTTATCCATAAATACATTACTCATATACAGCATGGATTGTTTTGTGTTCCTGCCACAGCTTTTTGGAGGAGGTAATAGCAATGATGGTAAAACCTCCTCCAATAATTGTGCAGTGTCTGTGCTGGTGATGCAGAACCCAGGCTGTCCTCACTGGGACACAGTGGAGCTGCCCTGTTAACAGCATACTAGATCACTGCGGACTCTACATTTTTCCCCTTGGAGGTGGTAGCGGGGCAGAGGCAGGGGGAGAAGAAGAAAAAAAAAAAAAAAGGTGCATCCTTTGGTATGGTTAATGCAGATGTTACCAAATTAATTTCCCCAAGCTGCTATATGTGTCTATTTCTTTTTATCTTCAGGGATATTTATAATGTATAGGAATATACTTCACCCTTCTGGTTATTTGGCTCACCTGGATTTATGTATTGTGCATGTAATTGGTGTATACAAAAGCACATTCCTTTCCTCTCTTCCCATGTAATTTTATGTTTGGTTCATCTAGCTTTTAAATTTTGACTTTTAAATTGTTAGTTGCTTACAGCACAGCAACAAGCAAGGAGACTTTTGCAAGGCCAAACGCTTCTGTAACATATATGAAGGATCCATTATTCTCTCATAGCAGATGGCTGGCAGATTGTGTTAACATATTTCCAAATGAATGAGTTTGCATTGTATATGCTTATTTGGCTCTTTAGCCATTTTCTGCTCAATATGCCTTGCCCAAATATGGAGTTGGAAGAGGCATATGTTTCTGCAATAAGAACAGGCTCTTTCAGCATCAGTATAAGCGTCCAGCCATCCAAGCGCTGGAGTAACAAGTCTCAGAAGTGATTTTCTTCTATATCAAGTTCACATATGGCTGGTCAAATTACATGAAAATCATTTGAGACTATTGTTCTTCTTGTAAAGAATTTAAAACAAGGAGGAGAATGTGTGATACTTTGCATCTGTCTTAGTGTAATTGAGTCAATATTCAATATCGGAAATATAAACTAAATCATATTAACATAGTGAAGTGGCTGCAAAGATAATCCAGGGCAAAGTTTTTATCTAAGTTTAACAGCATGATCATAATCATATGTAAGATCTGTCTGCTTGCTTTTGTAGTGATGTTCGTTACCTCTGGGATTAGGAGCAGTTGAGCTATCTTCTTGTAGTGATTTGCCAGACCTAATAAGACCTGAGAGACTGGGCTTGTGTCGTCGTGGTTTAGCCCCAGCCAGCAACTAAGCACCACGCAGCCGCTCCCCCTGCCCCGATGGGATGGGGGAGAGAATCGGAGGAGTAAGAGTGAGAAAACTCCTGGGTTGAGATAAGAACAGTTTAATAATTGAAATAAAGTAAAACAGTAATGATGATAATAACAATATCATAATAGTATACAAAGCAAGTGATGCACAATGCAATTGCTCACCACCTGCCGACTGATACCAAGCCAGCCCCGAGCAGCAATTGCTGCCGCCCGGCCAACTCCCTGCAGCTTATATACTGAGCATGACATCATATGGTATGAAATAGCCCTTTGGTCAGTTTGGATCAACTATTCTGGCTGTGCTCCCTTCCAGTTTCTTGTTTACCTGGCAGAGCATGGGAAGCTGAAAAGTCCTTGACTAGCATAAGCAGTACTTAGCAACAACTAAACCATCAGTGTGTTATCAACATTCTTCTCATGCTAAATCCAAAACACAGCACTATGCCATCTACTAGGAAGAAAATTAACTCTATCCCAGCCAAAACCAGGACAGCTTGTTAGTTCAGGCACAGAGCCACCTGAACACGGTTGGTCTGCTCTCATGACCCAAACTAGTGCGTTTGCATTGAGCTGCTCTGTTCTGCATAAATATAGCAGCTGAGACTGCCATTCTCTCAGAAACTTTGTGCTTTAGTGCACAGCACTGATATACACAGAGATGTAAAGTATAAAGCTGCCGTTCTGCCAAACAGCAGTTGAATTTGTACTCTACAATTTTGTATTGAACTTTACAATAATTCTATTCAGTCACAAGGTTTATCTTTTTAATATGTTGTTTTCTGTCTGTCTCCATCTAGAGTTCAGAAGGCTATAACATGAGCATCCCTATGCCAGGCCACCCAGTGAATTTTTCTGAAGTAACAATGGCACAGGCTCGGAAGGATGTGGCTAAACTTGAAGCGCTTATTGATGCTCATGATGTTGTTTTCCTGCTAATGGACACCAGAGAGAGTCGATGGCTTCCTGCTGTCATTGCAGCCAGCAAGAGGAAGGTATTGTACCATACCTTGCTAATACCCTTGTTGACTGTATTTCAGCTCTTGCATATCAGCCAGCTATGTATACCTAAAAGAACTTTATGGGAAATTGAAATATTTGACCAATCTTTTGTGATTGTGCAGAAATTTTTTCTTGTTTTCTGTAGCCTCAAAGATTCTGTATAAGAGAAAAAGACGCTGTTGAGACAATAGAAATTTGTATCACGGAATGATATAGGTTGAAAGAGACATCTGGAGGTGATCTGGTCCAACTCCCTGTTCAAAATGGAGCCAACTTACAGTTTGTTGCTCAGGGTCTTGTCTAGTCAGTATCTTTTGAGCATCTCCAAGGGTACATATTTCATAGTAATACTAAGAGAAGTTATTTCATAGTAAGGGAATTATAGGAGAAGTAAAGACATTACAGTAATGATTGACTGATAGGGGGTGTGAATGGTAGAAACTTGTCTGAAACCATGTTTTCAAAATATATCTCAAAAGTGGAAAAATTAGAAATTGAATTCTGAACTTAAGAAGTATGCCAGCACTTTTTTGGTCAAAAGTTAACTTCGGGTTTTTCCTCATTGCCTTATTGGAAAACATACTGTTGTGCTGAGCCAACGCATCCGAACTCTGCCCATGACACTTACTCAGGTAGTATTGAATGCTTCAGCTATTTCTGTAGCTTAAAAGTAATATCCTCATGTTACAAACAAAAAAAAAAAAAAATACGGAGAGGGCTGTAGTACATGATATTAAGATTCTGAATTTATATATTAAAAAAAAGTATCTGAGGCTTCATCGATTGTATACGAAATCAGTGAGACTGTATGCATAAATGCTTATGTAGTCAAAATGCTTATGTTTTAATTCTCAAGAAGAGTCACAAAAGCATATGGGGAGAAGATTCTGAGCCGTTTTTTCTTGTTCTGCAAAACTTACTGAGGATTAGACTGTATGCATAAATGCTTATGTAGTCAAAATGCTTATGTTTTAATTCTCAAGAAGAGTCACAAAAGCATATGGGGAGAAGCCGTTTTTTCTTGTTCTGCAAAACTTACTAAGGATTAGATATGAATGATAGAGCCTTTACTTTTCTGTGAATTTTATTCTTGAAGAGACAGTGTGGCATCCAAACTTTTCCTGTGAAAGAATATTCTAAATCACACAGGATTCTGGAAGCAGAGTCTGTCTCCAAATTAATGCAGTGTTGAAAATATGGTGTTGCTGAAGAATCCAACTAAGTTATCCTGAACACTTATTTCCCTTGCTATCATGATGTAGACTTTAGTAAAACAGTCTCAAGTAATCTTGATATTTCTTAATTCATTTAAGAATTGTGCAGTTTCATGTTTGCTCAGTTAAAATAGCACAAAATCATAAAATGCAAGTATTAAGCTTTTAGCATGTCAGCTTAACCACAGTGCACACCCCGTGTATTTTGTGGCATAAATATAATGATATCCACAGCAATTTATTAAGTTGTGAACATAACATGAGAGTAAAAGAAAACATACATGTGACACAGCTGAGTCAATGTTGTTATTCGATCTTTGATTTTTTTATTTCCTGACTTCTGTGGTTTTTCAGCTATGACAACTCTAGTTTCCTAATAGTTGTTTGTGGTTTCTTTTGTTTGTGTTTATATTTATTTCCCAAAAAATGGACAGTAGAAAGGAGAGAGAATGCAGATTTGTGGTATTTGCAAAGTACTTACAAATTCCTTCTTACAAATTCCAAGTATATTCCAAATATAAATTCCCTTTCTCCTGAAGTTTATGTTCATCTGAACTTAACTACATTTCCTCTGCACCTGCTTTGCAAGCAGGTTTTTTCCAGATCAAACAGTTCTCTCATTTTATTTTAAGCCAAGGTCTTAAGTTATTTTCTCTTATTTCATTTTTTCTTATTTTAAATAGATTTCTGATCCTGAGCAATAGGCTTGTATGTCTTTTGTAGCTCAGATGAACTTCCCTTTGCCAGTGAACCACTGCCAGTGAAAAGATCGGTGTGGATTTCAGGTGTAACTGAGTGTATGTAACTTGTTAACTTAATCAGTTCCAACTTAATCTTAGTGGTTTTTCTGCAGTTTGCACCTGTGGTCTTTCAGCAATCTTTCATCTGTTTAAAAAAAACGCAGAAGTGACATAAAAAGAGTAAGTTTGCAAAGCTGGGTATTGAACCAGAAAGTGCCAGCCTACTATTTTGTATGTATGATGGTTGGTAGTTGTAAGCAATATGTGCAGTTTTATATGCAGTCCCCCTGCCTGGTTCAGTCACGATAGGGTTGTTTTAATGATCTCTGAATCTTTCCCCCTGACATTTGCTTAGCTAGCAGTCCCCCACTATATTTGCCTTACAGTGTGCAAATTTGTACTTTGAGGACAAATTTTGTAATTTCTTTGTGACAGTTCTCTGATATTCAGTGGCATAGTGTGGCTAACTGCATCACAGTTACTTGATTTTCATAAGATCACTTTGATGTGAGAAGATGGAATTCTCTGTCACTGAACAAGCACAGCACTGAAATTTCAAGGTGTCCAAACTGAAATGCTCAGTATCTGCTTTTCAGTGTTCTTCATGTTGATAAACATTTAATGAGAACTCTACTTCAAATGTAAATTTGTATGACAACTGCAAATCTGAAGAACTGCTGCAGTTTGGACCCCAAGGTCTCAAAACAGGCACACAGAAAATTAAGAACATAGTGATAATATGTGTAAAATTCTCTGTTAGGGGTAGGAATAAGAGTTGGTTTCCCCACATAGTCATTCAGTTGCCTTGATGATTTTTCGATCTTCCTGCAGTCCTTCCTCCCAAAACAAGTATCTTAGACAAACACAGAACTCAAATGTTAAATCCCTGTGTCAGATGTTAAATCTCTGTTCCTGCTGAGCGTTGGAACTTAAAATTTTGCTAGGTTTTTTGAAACGCATGCCAAAAGATACACTATTCCATAGCCTTTTTATCAAACACAGATGATTTTTTTTCTTTTTTTGATTAAATCAATCAGATTCAAATAGTTGCTGGACAGTAAACTGAAGAGAGAGAAACAGTTTATTGCAGTGGGAAGTGTTTACCAATATTATTAATTTCTGATGATACTGGCCGTGCCATGTTATTTATATTTTGAAAATGGAATACCATCTTCAGGTTTTACAGATAGATGTAGTGAGAAGATGCAGTCTTTTAATTGTTTGCTGTAGACCTGGCTGTGCTACCACAGATTCAACAGCATGGTTCTACTTTAGGACTGAGGAAAGAATAAACTACAACAAGGTTGAAAGTCAATATCCAGAAATTATTTGAAATACCAAGAATGATGATGAAACTCATAAGCTTACTGGTGAAGATGGCTAATTCTTGACAGCTTCCCTCAAAGTCCCTATTTTAAATAATTCCTGGCTATAAGAATGAAAAGTGACAAACTGCTGTACTAGAAATTCTATCTAAAATGTGTGCATATGAAGCAGTGTGTTACCTTCCTTTATATTTTACTGGCAACAGTCACTATTGTATAATTGGTTTTGCTTTTTGCTACATGTAAATCATTGCCTCTAAGTTTAATAAAACCTGCTACTTTAAGTATTGGTTTTATGATATTTCAGTCATAATGTAGATAGCTTCAGATTACTCTAAGCACTTGTCACAAACTGAAGAGAAAGGGGAAAATGATGACAGTGTAATTGTGTATCGCAGCTGCTTGTGCTCCCCATGTGACTAAACAGATGCATATGAAGACCATAAGTAATCATTAATTGCTTTCCTCACTGAGCAGAAGTTTTTTTGGATAACAGACTTGTATTTCATTGCTTTGCCACATAGGAGTGTTTAATGAGTTATATTTCAGGCCACAGTGAACTGAAAAGACTACATATAGAATTTCAAGTGACATGAAAACTTGTTACTGATAGCCACTGTGGTACTTAAATGGCACTTGAAATATTTTAGCACCTAGAGCAAACTTGAAAATACATTCTGAGCTGGAACCAAAATAAGTTTTTTTCCAATAACGATACTAATCATTGTATGAATTTTGGGCCAAATTTGGAATAGCTTCAGTTGTAAACTAGCACAACACATTTATGAGAGTTCCTGTTGCTTTTTTTTTGTCAGCAAGTGTGTATAGATTTGTGTAACAATTAGAGGGAGTTGTTAATTTGTATCAAATTGCCCTCAAAGACACAGGAAAAGGTAATGGTTTGTGGATTTCTGAAACAGACTTTTGTTTTGATTTTGTTTTTTCTAAGTGCTTGACAACTGGAATTTTGCACCTATCAGAAAATCTGTTGTTTATGGCTAGGGTGGTAGATATGTAGTTAATAGGTCATTCGTCCACCTACAGCATGTGGGGTTTTTTGAAATCTACAGTGAATAAAACCTTGAGGGCTTTTTCTCCCCTCCCTTTTTGGCTCACTTAAAATCTGTTGTTCTCTCTTTATTGTTCACAGTTGGTCATCAATGCTGCATTGGGATTTGACACATTTGTTGTTATGAGACATGGTCTAAAGAAACCAAAACAGCAAGAATCTGGTGATTCATGTTTGAACAATGCCTCTGGTTCTTCTGATCTTTTGGGATCATCGCTCTTTTCAAATATCCCTGGCTATAAACTGGGTTGCTACTTCTGCAATGACGTTGTGGCACCAGGGGATGTGAGTAGAACCTTATGAAAACGATGATTATATATCTCTCTTGTTGTGACTTGAATTTTTATTTCCTTTAAATGGTGTTTCATAAAGGGATTTGTTTTATGTTGATATACACAGGATTAAGAAATAGCTCATATTTTATTTGGAAGATCAAAGAAATTAATTACACAGAACTAAAGATGTTTTGTGTAGTAGGGCAGCTAGTTACTTTTGAGTTACTTTTTTCTTTCCTTTAGAATTGTCTGTCTTTGTAGTCTACCAGGGATCGGACATTGGATCAGCAGTGCACAGTCAGTCGACCTGGATTAGCCATGATAGCTGGAGCTCTTGCAGTGGAATTAATGGTTTCTGTTTTACAGCATCCAGAAGGGTGAGTCACTTCTGAGACAAGGATTGGTGTTCAAAAGGTGTTCTCTGAGAAATAAGATTGATTTAATATAATCTTTTGGGAGAAAGAAGAGGAAGTACACATTAAGTAGGACAATTTTGTAAGGTGTAATGTTGCCTGCAAATTAATGTAGGTCATATCTACTATATTACTATAATTTAATGGTGTTTGAGAGAGAACTGATTGATCAAATCTTAAGTTTTTAGCTTGGAAATTGGGAGTTCTTTCTTTTTTTTTTTTTTTTTTTAAAGTTTAAAAGTAGAAAAGTACTGAGAGTATTTCAAAAGAAGAAAGTATTCCTGTTAGTGGATCTTGGCATTCCTTTGCTCAGGAGAGTGAGTGTAATAAGGAGCTGCCATAGCTACTTTTGTCACATGAAGGCTTCAAGATAAGCCAAATATTGCAAAATCTTAATTAAAATTAAGTGGGTTTGATACAGAAATTACCCTGATATTCTGTAACCTGAAATTTAGGCTCTTGTTTTCTGTCTTTAAAATCTGTGAAAGAAAAAGTGAGTTAGGAGTTGGACATGAGTATGTTACAAGTGTCTGAGACTGATTCTGAAAAATGGTTTCTGTATTCCCATGCTGAATCTTAGTTACTGTGAAACAGATTTTCCAGATAGGTTCCTTTCCAGTTTCTAAACTGTAAGCTGTAACAAAATGTCTTGAAGCTTACTGGAAATTTTGACGGTTCAGTATGTCGTCTTGTTCTAATTTTCCTTCTTGAATTTTTGGCAGTGGTTATGCTGTGGCCAGCAGTAGTGATGATAGAATGAATGAACCACCTACTTCTCTTGGACTTGTTCCTCATCAGGTAAATAATTTGTGAGTAAATGCTTGCGTTTAGAAGCTGGAAACTGATGCAAGGCAAGCATCGCAGACTTTGCCTCCTTAACAGAAGCATATTCTATGCTGATTTCATTCCCTGAAGGACTGACTCCCTATGTTTGTTTACAAAAAAAAAAAAAAAATCCATCACAAAGGCCAAGGTAGTTGTGTTCATGGCATTGTGTCTGTCCTACTTGTGGACGCACAATTCCTGCTACCTGCTTAGCAGAGATTTATTTGGAGCAGACAGTATGTGAATAAGGCAACCTCTGACTTTTCCCCTTCAGAGCTGATAATATGAGCATCTCGAAGTTACTTTTTGTTCACTTTTTAAATCCCTTCTGAGTTTGGAAAAAAAAAATTCAAATCCAGCCAACTCACAATTATTATAGTTCTCCAAAATATTCATGTGCAATACAGCAGTCTGTTCTTCTACTCAACCGGAAATCTAGTTACAAATGTGTTAAGGATACCATTTCTCAAATTGATGGATAGACTTGTCTGTATTTGTTATATTGATACAGTCTTTCAAAAAACAGCCTGCTGATCTTATCCCTGTAATCATAGAATCATTTAGGTTGGAAACAGACCCTTAAGATTATCAAGTCCAACTGTTAACCTAGCACTGCCAAGTCCACCACTAAACCATGGCCATAAGTGCCACATCTACATGTCTTTTAAATACCCCTAGGGTGGGGACTCAACCACTTCCATGGGCAGCCTGTTCCAATGCTTGACAACCCTTTTGGTGAAGGAATTTTTTCTAATATCTGGTCTAAGCCTTCCCTGGCACAAGTTCCGGCCATTTCCTCTCGTCCTATCACTTGTTACTTGGGAGGAGAGCCCAACACCCACCTTGCTATAACCTCTTTGGGAGTAAAAGTGTTCTGTGCCTCTTTCTTTATGCTTCTCTGAGTGACTCTGGATGCTTCCACTGTATAAATAAATCATTTATTTGTTTCGAAGTGGTATTTTTACATTCTATTTCCCCCACCCCCCTTCCCCCTAAGAATGAATCTTGATTCAGAAAAAGATAAAGCGACCTGAATGTTGCAAAGAAAACATACTAGTAAGCACAGGGTCTGGTCTATATAAAATTAGTCTAATTTTTTTTATAACTTTGTGTGGTAACCAGTGTTTACACATGGGTCATTCTATGCAATGGGGTCCCCCTAGGTTCTCCCTGGGTTCTTTCTCCAGTAATTCTGGAGTCTCTCCAGTTCTCTCTCAGGAGTCTCTCTCCCATACCTCTGAAGTTTTCTGCATGTTACTGTGGATGCTGTCAGCTGCAGGATTGATAGGGAATATCCAATTGTTGACTGGCTTGTTCAGATACCCTCAGTACGAGGCTTTTGTCCTTGCTGGCACTCATAATCTGCTTGTCTGGAAGGTTCTCAACAGTTTCCAACTTTGGCACTAATTAATAAATTAGTAACTTTCACAATGACTGACAGGTTGTTTACAGTCAGGGTACTTTATTATAACTAAGTTACTCCCTTATCCTATAGGGTTATCTGTAGTTAATATGCTAATGCTGTTGTCATCTGGACCCAATGTATGCCAACTGCTGCAGTATATCTGAGGGAGATTTTTTGACCTCTCATATCTCAATAGGAAGAAAAAGCCAAATCTAAATCTTGTTCATTTGATGATCCAGGTACTCCCTTCTGATTTATCTGAATGTTTCCTGTGATCGTATAGATGATAATATGAAAGAGATTTTACTTATGCTAGGTCAGTTTGGTTTTAAAAATAACTTCAGTAATTTTGACGGTTGAATCTTTGTGGGTCTTACACAGTAACTTTGTTTCAAAATGGTGACTATGCTCCAGACCTCTGGAAAACAGATCTGTAATTTGAACTTTCTCTTAACAACTGAAAAGGGATAGTAAAGAAGTGATGGGTTTTTTTTCTTCCAACAAAAACCTAGAAATATTGTGTTATGTAGTAAATTTTTTTTTTTTTTAGACTATTTCCCAGTAAATTTTAGAAAGTTTACTGCTCTTACTGGAAAAATAATGATCTCACAGTTCATACATTTCCTGATGATGAGAATGTCAACTGTCCAGTCAGTCCTGTCTGATTTGTTTTATACCCCTATATGATTTTCCTTGTGTATTGTTCTGGTTTGGGCTATGCTTTGAGATATAGTCCATATCAAATACGGATTTTATTCTGAAAACTTTTCATTGAATTATGACTTCTTTCAGCCCTATTTCTGTTTTCACATTTATATTCAGTGACTATCATGAATGTCTTCTCTTCTAGACATTCTAACTCAAATATAACTTTAGTAGGTACAAAATGAAAACAAACAATTTTTTTCAAATATTGTGACATCTGATCTGTTTAGAAACTGTTGGTTTCTCTTAGCAGTCACCCATCTAATCAACTCAGTGAGTATAATATTTTCTCCAAGGGTCTAGAATTAACTGTTGGTTTCTGGTGCGGTTTTTTGTGGTGTTCTTTGTTCATTTGGTTAGCCCAGTTGTGCGGAAAAAGAAGGATAGTAATTAATTAATGCAGCAGTTCTCTTTTTCCTTTGTGGATAATAAATGTTGCACACTTATAGTCTTAGTCATAAATGATCTAAATTTATTTCCAGGAAGTATCTTGGAGTTCCTAGGATAACAGAAATACAAAGCAATGTGGTATCAGAAAGACTTCATTTTGTTGTTTTTCCTTTCTTTTCCTGGGTGTGGGTTTTGTTCAAAAATGACTGAATTTTTAATTCTAACATTATGTATGGCTTGGTGTTTCTGCAGAATTACCTTGGTGTTAATACTGCTATTGGCTTCCAAGGTTTATGCCATTTCAACTGCATTAAATGTGGAGTGCATATTGGAAGTATTTTCCATAATAGACCTGAATATTAATTTGTATTGTGAAGCTACTTATGTTCTGTTCTTAATGACGTCTCTTCATTGTAGTAGACCTGCAAAAGCACAGAATCAAAAAGATGATCAGTACTCCAAAGAGTTCACAGTCTAAATGATCAAACCCTGCTCCAAAGTGTTTTCAGTGCTATCTGGGTTACCAGAAACAATGGTCTGGAATTTTAAAATTACATATCAGTAGTATCATATTACCAACATAGTTTAGGAATGCACAACAGTTAGGTTTTCAGATTATATGTTGTAGAGATGGGGGGGGGGAATGTGTTTAACTGCCTATACCATGACTTATTTTCATTGAACTTTGCAATCAGAAGAGTCAAACTCCAGGTGGTGCTGTGCCTCTATTTATGTTTAAACGGTGTTGCATTTAGATAGTTGTGCCATTATTTGTATATAGAAAAACAGTAATATATATTGAGTATAAATTTACTACAGGTGTTATTGGGGGTCACTGTGTTGGAACAGTATTACCCTACTTACAGCCATTCTTTATCTTTTCATTGAATGTATGTGTCCAGCTCATGTGGAATTTTGGAAATGTTTTTGTAATTATAAAATAGTATTGTAATTTTTTTCATCTTCCAGATCCGTGGATTTTTATCAAGATTTGATAATGTTCTTCCAGTCAGCCTGGCATTTGATAAGTGCACAGCCTGTTCAATGAAAGTGAGTCTGAGTTTGTCTGTACTTTATTTATATGTACAGAAAGGTCTTGCTCTAGGTCAGTCTTGGGGTGCTGAGGCCTGCTTTGTATTTGATGTTTTGTCTTGCTTCTTTAGGGCTTGGAATATGTGTTCTCACTTCAGCTAAAGTTCTTTTGCCCTTGTACCCTTCTTTTTTAGCTGTTTTCCGAATTTCTTTGGCATCACCTGTTAGCATGCTATCTCCACATAAACATTCTAGTCATAGCTGAAGAAACCAAGCAGAGATTAGGGCCAACACATTTCTGAAAAGTTTATCACATAAATACTGTCAGTATCTTTTAGTTTGTAGGAAGGAATAAAATTGGTATTGTTTTTAAGAAATTACTTCTGATGTCCAATGAATAAATGTATCTTTTTAGCTTTCTTGATCTTAGTATCATTGTAAATATGTGAAGTTGTCTAAATTTCTGTTTTATGATACAAAACAAACATATAAAGAACACTTAAGAAAAAAAAATTACTTCCATAACATTTCTTTATTGAAAAGACTGTTTCATTTTGATGCTAGTGTTGACAGTCCTGAGTCACTTAATGGATTTACAGCTGTTGATTGGATCTGAGCTATGTCTTGCCAGAACAGTCGGACAGCCCACTAATGTGTCTGAGGCCGCCTCTTCAGTCTTGGATTGTTTTCCTGTACTGTGGCCTTGAGAAGTTTTTTTTCTGGCAAGTTTTCTATGGCCATGTAGTGCAAGTTCAAGAAGTTTTGACTGGGATATCTCAATATGAAGATTCAGAGGTTTTGAGTCACAGTTTGGCCTGCTTGGGAGTGCCATTAATTTAGTTCACTTTTATGTACCTTGAGACTTACTGCAAGTTCTTTCCATTCTTTTCATTGCACTTGTCCTTCTTCTTTCAAATAGCTATCAAAACTCTTGAGGCATTATAATTTTTTTGAGGACTTGCACAATTTCTTCCTCTACATTATTCCTGTTATTTCTCTAGGCTATCTGGGCACATTTGACAAGTTTTGAAGGACTATTAATGTCCATTTTCTCCTCAAAAGTTGAAGCACTAAACTTAAAACTGCGGTTATTTTTAGAAACATGTATCTACCCTCTTGAATAGCTGAAAGATCAGCAGTAGCTAAAAGAGATTATTTTCTTATCTTTTCTAGAAGTATGGGTTGCAGAAATTCTATATGTTACCTGAAGTAATTTGGTTCAAAAAAATAGTTATATGTAAGAGGAAAAAAAAAAAAAAGGAAAAACTTTGATGGTTGGAGCCTGAGAAGTTAAACTGTTAGAATAAGCCTTTTTCTTTTTTTTTTTTTTTCCTCTCTTTATGTCTTATCCAGGACATATTGATATAGAAAACCAATAAAAATGTACACGGATATAGATAAATTAAATGCAGGTATCCATTTTTTGTTAGCAAATAATTTCCTCTTGGAGGTCATTTTAAGAGATCCCTGTTTTACATAAACAGACTTGATGATTTAATAAAAACTGACTTGGATTTTAGCAGCTGTGCTATTCCCAGAGAGATCACTTTTCATGTGGTTTGGGTATTAAATTACTTATGTGCTGAAAAGGTTGCTTCATTGGCACATGTATTTCCTTACAGTAGAAACACAGCATTTGTTTACTTTGCTAACTTTCTGTTTATTAGCATAAGAGTATGTCACCCTGTATTATCTGGAAATTTCATGCTAATACTTTGAAACGACAAATCCAATTACAATTGAATTGTAGTCTGTATGTTGGTTTTGTTTTTGGGGGTGTTTTTTCTAATCAGGCAATTTAGCATAATTTCATCCTGATCTACGTCAGGTTTACAATAGATTCAAACTATTTAGCACAGGAGACAAGTGGCTTTTCTGATGTAATTGATTTGCTGGTAGCTTATTAATTTTCTTCTTTCTTATGTCCGCATTCTCTTTCTTGAGCTCTTGTCACTCTGTAACCCTTAAAACATAAACCTAATTAACTAGGAATTAAAAAAAAAAATCCAGTACATTCTTAGGCCATCTAGTACAGCTGGATGACATAGGAGAAGCTGCTAATGATCTGCATGTTTAGAGATTAGATTCCATTGCATTTTGACTCACAGTCATGACTTCATTTCTCTGGTTTTGAAGCCAAAGAGCCCAGACATCCAAGCAGCCAGCTATTCCTTACCCAGAATTGTCCTAAACAGGCTGCATGCCAGAGAAGCTTCCCGCAGGCAATTGTTCAGGAATTTTGGGATGGTCGCAGCAGGAAACCAATCTATTTTTATTCTGGACCGAATTTTCCTTGTATGATTTCCCCCTGTCTTATTCTGGTTCTGCACAAGCATGTGCTGGAGTGGAAAGTATCCTCTTTCAGAGCTAACGGCACTGCACTGTCAGTTGAGTAGTAAGTCTGAGGAGCAGCATTAGCTCTTCTGACGCACTTCCTCTTCCATGTCAAACTTGTTCTGTTACTGAGAAGGGAGTGTCCAAAGTTACTTTAGTATAGAGATTTATTTGTAATAACCCTTTACTTACAGAATGAGAATGTTAAGCTTATTACTTACTGTGCTAAGTAAGCTGTTTACCTTGTTGAGGGCAAAATGAGGATATTTTCTCATAATATTATGGTGAGAAGCATTACAGTCCTGTGGAAAAATAGGATGGTCCTGATCCTGTGCTACCTGATCCTTGCAGGCAACTGGCTAAAGCCTGGAAACATGAATGTTAAAATATATATTTTTCTTAAGGCAAAACTGCTAGTGTTTATATTTTAATAAAGGTAATAAAAATTTTCCTGTTATTGCTCCTCCCTCCTCCTTGCGCGTCATGGAATGAATCAGGAGACCTCATAGATTCAGACTTTAATGTCAGAAAAGATTATTGCTACTAACCAACTTGGATATACAGATGTCCCCTCTGTTTTTACATATAGCTCACAGATCTTCTTTCCTCCAGAGTGCAGACTTATCGTCCATGTGCTAGAAAGCTAGCTTATTTTCCTTAAGATATTTCTCTCCTTCCCCTACTAAAATTGTTCTGATACGTAATTATTTCCATTGTCAAATTAAAAAAAAAAAAAAAAAAGTAGCATAAGTATCTCTACTAATTTCCAAGTTCATTCTCAACTTTTATTGAGTATGCTGAAAAATTGAGTTGCTTAACTCATAGTTTCTTAACCACTGAGTAATCTTACTGACTTACCTTTAAATATTTTTTGATTTCATTGCATTTCATGAAGGGGTAGACACCAGGATCAAGGATAGTATTCTGGGCACTATGTTACAATTTCTGTTTTCAGTCAAGATATTTCCCTACCCTTGCAGATGTTTTTCCCTTTTTAACATCCCAGGAATACATTAAACACTTCTGCTGTGACATTTACTAAGTGCCTGTGTTGTGTAAGTTATTTATGAGTGTTTCAGTTTTGAAATCTTTCATCATGTAGACACAACAATGCTTTTATTGTTCTCATCTGCTAACTGCTTTGCATGCATTTTTACCTTAAATGGTTCTGGTCAGTTATGGCAGTAACCTGCACTATTCAGTAACTTACTGATTTTTTTCAGTAGAGATGTGTAAGTCATGGGGCAGGGGGTGGAACTTTGGTCTTTCCTGTACTAAAAAAAGCTAACTCCTGCATAGTTTGCAGAAATGATGGAGGAAATGGGGAGAAATGTTTGTCCTTCAAGAATGAACACTGCAAAAATTTAAAAGAATGTTTAAAAAGAGTTATTTCTGTGGCTGTGCTGTAACATTAAGCCTATGTAACTGAGTCCATTTATAACTTTCCTTATTTCCTGAATTTACATGTGTTAACATTTGACACTTCTATGTACAGTGCAGCCTCTGTGTTAATATTGGATAGATTTCGTTCAGACTTAAAGAATTCATCATTAATATACCTAGGCATATTTTCAGCATACTGAGTCAAATGTAATACTTTTCTTTCTCTTAAGGTGGCATAGAAAATTGCTTTTGAAGTGACTTACAGAAATTTACCACTTTTGTTTTTCCTTTTTGAAAAAATGTCATTTTAACTGGGGGGAACAGGAGGCAGGATTATTTTGCCCGTAACTTTTGAAATCTCAGGCAGTCTCTACCTCTCTGGATATCAATTTTAAATTCAGTGAGAGAATTGAAATAATATATTTTCAAAATTAGTCTTCAGTAAGGATGGTTTTACTGCTGGTTGCCTCAAAGATGCGCATTCTTGAAAATAATGCCTGGTCTTACTATTTCAAAAATACTGAGTTTTTATTATACAGTCAACAAAATACAATGTAGATTATCTCAAGTAAAAGGATACTAACAGAAGGAAGCTGTGATGTGTGCTAAGAATGCCACACCACACACAAAGAAATTATGATCATGGTAATGTGGCCATTAGGATGGAATTTTGTTCCCTTATTGGGGGGCAAATGTGATCAAGAACCCCAGAAATCTTAAAAGTAATGTTAACTTTGAACATTATCCTATTTTGTGAACAGAGAAAAGGGTGTGGAATCAGTGGTATATTCAGTTTTGTGCGTTGGGGAAAGTGGGGAGGTGTCTGTACAGACAGGGTGGCTGGTAATTGGAAAATGGGACTTAAAAATAACAACACTGAAATCTAATAAGGTGGGAGAGAGCTCATTATCTCGGTCCTATATCTGAAAAAAAATACATGATATTAATGAAGTATGTGTAGTTCAGTGGAGAAGTTATGTCTTGTTCCTCCTTGCTTAGTCCATCATGATGACCAGAAACTTCATAGCAAATCCTATGTGAAGGCAGTAGCGCCAAATAAACTGCCTTGCGTGTAACAGCTCCACAATAAAGGTTGTAAATGGAAGGAACGTGGGGAAAGATAGAACATGATGATATTCCGTCTTAAATCATACCATTTGCCAAAATTCAGAAAGCAGGCTGACATTCCCGTGTGTTAGCACTGTTATGGCTAGATTGTAAGAGTTAGAAATGAGGAATGTTTTGCACCAGTTACTCGAGAGTTGCAGGATGCAGGTTTATTGACATTTAATAGATAACAG